TCTGGCAGGTCTGCAGTTGCCCATGAAGCAGCAGCATCTGTCCCTCGTGGCACCCAAGCAATCTCATTTCTGTTTGTCACTTCACTGTAGGGTTTGCTCCTGTCCTGCCCTGCTCTGTTTGATTCAGGAACATGAAGTTCCTCCTGAAAAAAGAATTCAGGACACTCTTCCCTTTGGTCAAACCAAGAGCAAAGGCTGGACAAAGTGAGACAGGATCTTTGCTCGCTAACTGCACTTTTAGATCCAGACTCTCAGATGGTAACCACAAGGGGCATCATATTTAATAGGTGTCAGCTCCTAAATATTTTTGGTAATACTGGCCTTCATTTTTATTTATTCAGTATTGTAATATTTTCGGCACCATTTCTCCTATGCTGATATCTAATCCATGTTCAACATGTGTGATAGAAGGGGAAGTGTTTCAGGAGATGTGCCTGGAGCTAAGGGAGTTCACACAGGCCGAGGAGTCGCGGGGTTGCTCTATGCACACACAGGGCTTCACCTTGTGTTCGGTGGATGCCTCATTAGAGAGGACACAGCCCATTGCAAAAGTGGTTAAAATCACTGCACTGTTGCTCCAGCTTACAGACAGCTGTAGGCAGGCAGATTTCCTGTCCCTTCACCATCACCTTCAATATATGGTTTCAAGAAAATTCCCTCCAACGCTACTGCTGCTATCATCACACTTCATTAGGGAAAAAAATGCTAATACCAAAGCTGCTCAGCCTCCTCCATCCACTGTAAAACATCTCGAGCAGCTTCCTCTCGACTTCCAACGTCTCTCCAGAACAGCAGGTGACAGAAGGTGGGTGTATTCCCAGGATGATGCCGTGTATCTGCTCTATAGGGTTCATCTGTGCTTTTGAGCACCGTTCCACAGAATCACACAACAGTTGAGGTTGGAAGGGACCTCTAGAGAACATCTAGTTCAACCCCCCTTATATATGATTTTGAAACTGCTACCTGCTACAAAACAGACCGATTCCCAAGGATGGGCAGAAAGCCCCCTTTTCAAGCATTTCTGACACCTTGCATTCAACTTTCAGGAGACAAATTCTTGCAAGGGAAGCAATTTGAGACCTTCAAGTTTACAGCAGTTCTCCAAAAGATCAGAAGCAATCGCAGGAGGAACAAGTGGCCAAAATAGTAAGTAATACAGCTTACTGACATAAATCTCCTGGTAGAAAATTCTCCCTGGCCCTGTAGCTGAGCAGCTTTGGTATTAGCATTAGTAAGGTCACATCAGCAGCACCTGAAGCTCTGCAAAGAAATGGGTGACAAAAGCACACCCGTTTGGGTGTCATTCACCTACACATTGGGTCCTTCCAACACATTTCCTTTGGACTCTGTCTCTCCAACTAGAGCACTCAGTCGCAGGTGGCTGCTGAGCTCCCGCTGAAGGCATCGCATCCCATCCCATCGCATCCCATCCCATCGCATCCCATCCCATCGCATCCCATCCCATCGCATCCCATCCCACGCACAAGAAACCCTCTGGGCACTTTGCCATCCAAGGTGCCAACCCTGGACGGGGCCATGGGTCTAAGCCCATGTAATGCACTAAAGGGACATTGCTGCAGCTCGAGAATTGCAGGTTCTTGCCCTTTTTTAGTCATTCGGGTCTCTGGCTTGTATTTTCTCCTTTCTCTCCCAGAAAAGAGCACTCATGGCCAGGGCAGGAAATGTCAACCCTGGCAGCAATTTGACCCTGCTGATTTTAGTGCTTGTCAAGGGCTAAGTAATAAGGGAGTGATTACAGGATGGCCAGATTTCCGTCCCCCAAAGGCGGGGGGACGGAAGGTCAGAGGGAAAGTACCAATCTTGAGGAGATGATAAGGAGAGCGCTGGAGCCCTGCGACCGGCAGCAACCACAAACCCAGCGCAGTTAGCGCGTCAAGCAGGCGAGAAATGAGAACCTGGGCTTTGCTCAGGTTTGCTGTTCAGCGCAGATCCGGAGAACTTTGTTCTTTGAGTCCAAAAGGGGGAATTCTAGAGGGCAGAAACTGAGCAGAAAACACTTTTTTTTTTTTTTTTTTTTTTTAAAAGATATACTCTTCAAACTGTCTGTTTTTTCCCAAAATACAACTAGCTTTCCACGGTTGTGCATTTGGTCAGTAGCACACAGCTTTTGATCAATTCAATGCCAAGTTAAAGTTATTTTCTAGCTCCGAAATTAAGCACACTCGCAGCTCTTCAATATTATCTTTTCCTCTTAACTCTCAAACTTACAAAGGACAATACCTTTTTAAATGCATGTCTCCTCTCTAGCGAAGGTGTAAAAATATATAGCATCATTAAAAAGCCATCAAGGCCACTCTACTATAAAGTATTCTTTGCTCTCAAGATAGCATCATGTGAAAGTAAAAAGCAGCTGCATTTTGCAGCAGTTTGTATTTCTCCCCCTGAGAATTTTCAGCTAAGCACATAACTTGCTTGCTACAAAAAGCATTAAAACTAATTTGCATTACTTTAGACATTTTTTTAATAAAGAAGAATCTAAGATTTATCCCTCACATAAAAAGTTAATCCATGTTATAAGCAGACATCCCAACACAACTCATCAGTAAAAATAATAAGGAAGCATAAGTCAATGGGGCCATTATATAGAGCTCAGCAAAGCTGCACTAATCACATGCAATGTGGGAAGCCCCAAAACACAACTGCAAAGCAGCAGGCATAAAAACATCAGCTTTCAAACTCACGTATGGAATTTCCTATTGTGTCTTGCAGAAAAGTGCTGTTAAATTTCCCATTGAACGAGATTAAAATACTATAAAAAACATTATTCCTTCCACTGTTGCAACTACATCTACAACTTCACTCAACATCTGAGAGGAATTCAGCAACAGAGACCCCTACAACCGCTTCGAAAAGCAAACTGTTGCACATTTTACAAAGGAACATCTGAAACCGAAGAGGAAAGCCTGGTAACAGTAATTCTCCATGGAGCATGAACTATTTTTGCAGCTGAACGCGTCTCTGGATAACCTTCTAAACTCAAGCAATTAATTCTAGAACTCAAGGCGATTCTACACTTGAGGATCTTCAAAAGGAAGAAAGAAATCATGATGCCACCTCAAGTTCACAACTTTGATTCGTACCAGATGTGGGGGCTGGAGCCCTTGTGGGACCGTGTCAAGCTGCAGAGGTTTTGATGAATTCTGAGCAGATGGAGCATAAACAGGATCTCTCACTTGCACACGTTCACTGTCTAACAACTGATTGCATGTTCCCCAAAAAAACATACCTGCAGGGAATGGACCTCCATGCTGCAGATTTCATCTTCACTGCCCAGCAGCGAGATCCCCGCTCCCTTTTTCTGCTCTTTTTTGACGACAGTATCTACAACAACTTCAGACAGATGGAAACAAGATCCACCCGAGCCTCAGCCAAGAGCTTGGCCAGACAAGGACCATTGCACCCTGCCTAGCTGGCATGTCTCACTGCTGACCTGGCACGGACACAGTCTCATCCAGTGGCCAGAGACCCCTCTAACATCTCCTTGCCTCCTTTGGACAGTGTCCACAAAGCCAGAGACTTTTGCAGCCTCCTCAGAGGAGCCCCCGTGTCCCGTGATGTCTATGACACTCATCCTCAATGACACAGGAGGTGTGTGGCACATGAACCCACATCGTCCTGGTGTCATCGCTATCACAGGGACGCAGGCAACGTTTCCAAGTGTCCAAAACTGCTGGCCACTGATTTACAATTTGCTTCCAGAGCCTGGAAAGATTAGTAAGGAATAGGCTTCCTAGTAACATTCTTTGCCCTATCATAGACATGCAAGTTTATCGCAGGCTGTTTTTGTCATTTCTGTTCAAGAAAAATTAACATTTTAGTATATTTTTAGACCTGAAGTATTTTAGTAATACCTCTGTAAATCAAAGCAATTTTAATGATTCTCACCTAATGATATATTTTTACTGCCTCCAAAAGAGCATTCTGCTTTAAGAGTGCCCGAACACCTTCCTGTTTCATTTATCATCTTGTCTTTCTTTTTTTCCTTCTTCTCTCTCTCTTTTTTTTTTTTCCCCTCTCTTCTTTCTTCTTCTCTTTTCTTATCACTTAGGATGATTCAAACTCTGCTGGCTGCTTTCTCAGCCTGCTGTTTTATTACTTGGTAACCAGGTAAGATAGAAAGAAAACCTCTCTGCTTGATTAAATCATTCCACTAAGTTCTATAGTCCACAGAAAGCTAACAGAATTAGTGAAAAACAAAATTACTAATATTTGTTATCTTACACAATCACTTTTAAGGAAATTATCTGAATATACCTCTTCCCTATACAGTACAACTCAGATCAAATTAGACAAGTTTCTTGGCAAAAGAATACCTACTTAAAATAGCTACTGAAAACACTACAAAGTATAAGCAGAGAGCAGCACACGTTTAAATGACCAATACATTTCATACATATGACCCCCCAAAAGTGACTTTAGTGTGGATATCTGAGGTCTAACTTATGTTCTTGGTGTGTGGCACCAACTACAACAGGCTCCTGCCCTGCATGCATGGCTCATACTTATTGTTATCATTAAAGTGCTGTTTGCTCAGTGTTAACAGCTTCTCCCTGCGCCTGGGAGCCAGGAACAAATTATCAGCTGTTCCATAATAGAGGCCCATAATGCCCAGGACTCGCTCTAATTTGAGGGCAATATTGAGAAGATACAGCCATTACACAAGCAAACATGATAATTTCCACTGCAGAAGGTATTTAATTTCCTGCCCGTTGCTGTTTCACAGACAGGAGGACAGCTTCAACGTGGAAAACACCTCTGCTGCTAGTCTACAACCCTGGATGATGACAGCCAACGGCCACTTGCATTCCCTAGGATGGGGCCCTACCATGCAACCACGTGGCCAGGGTCTCCTCATCAAAAGGATGGGATTTAGTCCCATCTGCATCCAAGCATCAGCAACACATCCAGGTACTTAGGGGAAGAGTTGAGTGAATCTAAAGCATTCTGCAAAACTAGGACAACAGGGCTCAAGGCTACACCTATCCGCAGGCTGTGGGAAATGAGAATAAGCACGAGATGGAGCTCACCGCAGACACTTTGCCAATGACGTCCCTTGCAACAGCGAGGCCTTGTGCAAAAGTGCGGGCAGCCACAAACGCCCTCGTCACTTGCAGCTTGAGCTTCCGCGGCACGTCACCGAAGGGCTTCAGCTGCTCCGTGTACTTGCTCACGCACTCCAGGTACTCGTCCGTGAAGTGGTACTGGGGGTTCACCAGGCGGAACATGCGCTCCAGGAGGCGCGCCCAGAACTCGTTGAGCATCTCCTCCAGGTTCACGTTGCCGCCCACGTAGTAGCGCTTCAGCTCCACGAAGAGGTCCTTGAACAGCTCCGAGTTCTGCATGTACAAACGGCCATACGTCCGCACAAACATGTCGTTCAGCGACTTCTCGGCATTCTCGAGAAGTTCCTTGAAGAACTCTAGGAAAGAGCAACAGAAGCCATGGTAAAGAACCTCAGCTTGACCGTTCTCATGTTTTTACAGGCACTGCCATTACTTAACTTGAAGATTCATTTCATCACCCAAATGAAATGGAAAGCTAAAGGTCATCCTAAAATAGTAGCTACAAGGTAAAAGGTCCCAAAGCATTTTTTGCATTTTAAAATTTTTATTTGTCATAAACCATAACCCTCCACAGCCCCCCCAGATCTTTAACACATGGATGGGTGAAATCTCTTGATACATAACTGAATACCACAACCAAAGTCAGCGCATTGAATACAACGGTTTCTGATATTACCATTCATCCACCTTACAAAAGTTGTTTTGGAGCACAAGACCATTGGAAAGCAAAACCAAAAAAATATTAAAGCAGCTGTTTTGAACAAATGTTTCTTTCTTTTCAATACTGTTAATTCATTTTCTGGAACGTCATTAACAAGTTTTAGTATGTTTTAAAAACAAAATATCTACACATGTTTCTTTCTCCCATCTCTCAAGTTTGTCAGGTCTCTAGGGCAGAGCCTGTCTGTAATTACGTAATTGTTTGTGATTGCAGGCAGGGCCTTTAGATGTCTGTAGCAGCAGAAAGTCCAATTAAGCAGAATTCAAGGGCCAAACACTTGACACTTGAAAGGCCGACACGCGACTTTTCAGATGATGGAAGGCAGAAGCGGGGGGCCCTCTGGTTTTGTCACTTCCAAAAGTGAATCCCTGCTTCAGTTCCATGTCCAAGAACACCAGACAGCCCCGTGCCAGCGTGCTGGAACGCCGGCGCCCTGTCCTGGCAGCGCCTCGCGCGTCTCGACGCCGATAACGCGCCGACCCGATGACGCTTGGCGCAGCGGACGCATCTGCCAGCTCAGAGAACATCCACCATGAATTAGGTGACCCCAGAGCCCCAACACAAGGAAAAGGCTTGGCACAGGGATGCCATGCCCTGCCCGGGAATAAGGTGACCTTCCCCATGGCAAAGCCGTTGGGGCCGAACAAAGGAACGGCTGCTCCCAACTAGGTGGCAACAGTTCAAAGCAGGGGAAAACACCGGTGTTTAGTTAGATGTGATCAAAGAGTGGCCTGCTAGAAAGTCTCTGCCTTGAAGACTTGATAGGGAAGGGAAAAAAAAAAAAAAAGAGAGAGATGCAGGAGGGTCGCTCAAGCCAAAGGAGCCCGGGCCATTGAGGAACAACCCACCATTCCACACAGGAGGAGCTCAGGAGAGGCAAGGACAACGAATGCCTCTGTCCTGGCACCACCAAGCACGGGCTCCTCAAGACCGAAGCTCTCCTAACCCAACCTAAGAGGCCAGGAGGCCCCCAAAACCCGCTCGAGCAGCAGCGGTGACCAAGGGCTGCAAGGGGCTACCTGGGCACTTACTCGCCCGGGCGCAGGCCAAGCCGGGCCCCTTGTGCAGCGCCTGCCTGCAGAAGAGGAGGAAGCCTATTATTCTATGCATACCACTAGCAACTGAGGATCCTGACCTCTGCTTTTCTGTGACTCATATTCAATAAATATTTTTCAATAAAACATGCCTCTGTGTTTTCTTAATCCTCAAAGGAGTCGTGTTTAGAGCCAGAAGTTGTTAGAAGGAGGGAGGGGGGGAAAAGAGAGATTTTGGCCCAGTGTGAATTTAAACCTTGTTAAAATGTATTAAAGTATGCTGAAGTTCAGATTTTTCGTCTTCAAAGTGCTCCAGTACAAACAAAGACTAACAGAGAAAACATTTTCTGGAAAAACTGAAACATTCTTCGAGTTCCTGACGAACAAAGTCATGGGGTTTGGTGGTTGACATAGCTGTATATAATGTAGCCTCTCAGGAGCCCGAGAGAAATGATCCAGGGAAGAAGAGATTGATTTCAAACACCCGCCACGTCCTCTGTCCAATATCAGCAGGCACCTCTTTTTTAACCTCTACTTTCGTTCCCATGACTGGCATTTCCTCTGCAGGCAGCTCTTTTTTTCTTTTTTAGTTGAGTTTATACTATAGAGATTAGTTTGGTGTATATTAATTTCTAATTCACTTAATCATTTTGAAAGCTTACTTCCTTCCTTTGCTCAGGCCTTTTAATATCACCAAATAAGTTGTTTATTTAAACACTTTCAGACCAGGCACAAGAGCTAACAGATGCGTCAGCAAAGTCTTCAGAAAGGATTAGATTCCAGAACGACACTGACATGAAAGACCATTAAATATTTCCAACCATCAGTCTAAAGCAGCTCAGAGTATTGTTTAGAGCCAGAAAAGTTACCTCAAGTAATACATCCATATTGACATAGCAAATTTATTCTCCTGTCCGGACTCATTTTGCTGGTTACCCTCCAAACTAAAAAGTGAACAAATCGTATCTCAGTTTTACAGCAGCTTGTCAATTTGTGATGTTTAATAGGGGCTAGAATACGGGGCAAGACGATGAAAAAATCTGGAATAGTAATAAATTTTAAAAATAATCATAATAATAATTAGCTACAAGTACGTGTGCATTTGCACTCTTCCAGACCCAAAGTTTGGTTAAAAATAAATTTAAAAATAAAGTATGTTTTACTCTCAGTAAGGAAAGCTAAGCTTTTCTCCATGTAAAGTAAAGGCTTCTGATGTAAAGAGGGAAACAAATTATTCCTTTCTGTAACTTAAATGCTAGTCTGACTAGTAACTTAACCACCTCCAGCTTGATATTAATTTTCCCCTCACTGAAACAAGCTGATTAGCCAACTGCAGCACAGCCCAGAATTAACCCTGCCACTGCAAGAAGACAAATGGCAGGTTCCTCTCTTCCGTCCTGACTGTTTGCTAGGTAAAATAAATGACCACCTTTCATTTGCATTAGCAGTTGACTTCTTCTCAAACAAAGCAAACACACAAAGGACGTGGTTGCTTATTTTACAGGACCGTAAAAGCAAGTTTTACAGCTGTGTTGCATGCAATCTGTACTCATTAAATTATCACTTTGACAGACTTCCTGTGAAAAGCTGTCAAACACAAACATTTTTCACAGATGACAAATCATACTTTGCGAGTGCTCTCCAAAGCTCCGCTGTTCAGAGATGTCGGGCTCCTTTGCCTACTAGTTTTCTTGTTTGATTGGCAAAAAGGAGGAACACACAGAATCAGCATGGGTTTCAAGACACCAACCACGGGGGCAGCGCTTGCGACATGACCTGCAGGATCCATCCCATATCCCATCGCTCCAGCCCCCTGGCTAATCGCAGGGCACGGAGAGCCGTCTGCCTTGCAAGGAAAATACTTTTTCCCTCAATTTTGTCTTTGCCAATGGACACCACCCCTGTGCGTGCTCCAAGGACAGCTTGGGCACAGCCAGGACAAGTTGCTGATGAGATGCTCGGAAAGATGCCCAATGGCAAAGTCTTCTGCAAAGCGGCGTTCCTGAAAACCCAGGTACGAGCCAGCTATACCCATGGCAGTAGGTGATCCAGTATGTAATATCAGCATTGCCCACGACATCACCAAACACCAGGATTTGCAAGGAAGCACGTAATGAGCCGTCAGTTCCCTACGAGCTCCAGCATGGCCTTTCCAACAGCTTCCACGCTCCTTGCAAACTTACTCCTGCTTGCACAGTTTACTACCGAATTCAGCATCTCATCTGAGTCCCACTGACCCAAGTCATTTTGTAATACTTCGAGGCTCAAAGGAATACGATATTTTTAATGCAATTAACTTTTAGAGATAGAAAGGGAAGCAATCCATCGTGAGGCCGTCTGGAGTTCTGGGTTCAGTTTGTTTCACATGTTTCAGCTCAGTGAAGCATTTCCCTATCCCAAACTTGGGGAAAGCATAGAGACATCACAAAACAGTAAAGATGACCAGACCCAAAGTATCTGATATTTCTATAGCAAGAGTCCTAGAGGAAAAGAAATCTCTGTTTAAACAAACTTCCATAAAAGAGCACAATGGGAAAATTTAACCACGGTTACTCAAGAGCAGGAGGACACCCCACCTCCTGAAGCTGCCTCCACATTACATCCATCTCCACAGCCAGAACAGCTCAAAACAACCTTTCTTCCAAATTAGAGACACATTAACTACTTGGAAAAGACACAACTCTTCCACCTACTGCAACGCACAGGGCAAATTCCAGATAGAGACAATAAACCCAATTCTTTGGGCTTTTGTAACCAGTTTGTTTATCTTGGATTCACAAGTCACATCCGAAAGCATCCCTTCTTCAAATTAAAAATCATCATTTTCCTGTGTGTAGGTTAACATTTGCAAGTGTATCATAGCAGGATTTGCACCGCAGAGGGCTTTTGAGGGAGAAAGTTGGCTGCTGGAAAGGACAGCCCTGACTAAACCAAAGGCAGCTCCTGCAGATCAGATGGTTCTTCAAAAGGGCACGTTCAGCTCTCCTCAGAGGTGGGTCTGACCCACAAGTTTGGGGACAGAGGAGGAAATGAGACCGCCCGGCTTGCGCTGCCTCCTCCCACCCATCGCCATGGTCTACCCCTCAGATGGGCCACGGTGCAGCAGCTCTGCTCAGGAGATGGGCACTCTGTCGAGGAGGAAAGGTGAGAAAAAGGCCATTTAGAAGGACCTGCCTGCTCTCTGCAACACGACCTGCATTTACCACCCTCGCTCACACCTGCCATCCAGCCCAGCCCACGACTCGCTTCCCTGCACATTCCCATGCCTCCGAAGGGCGAGCAGCATCCCGCTTCCAGGGCCTCCAGAGAGCCACCAGCCACCTAAGGGAACGGCAGCAGGAAAATCCTGCCCTGTGGCCGTCTATCCATTTCCAGCTTCCCCACTTGCTTTGTACACCCTTTCCTCCCAGGAGACCCAAAGCTGCCCATTGCAGCCAATGTATCAGCGGCAAGTTCAACTGAGGTGCCCAACCAGTGCCACGTCACTAACCCTGAGGACGTTAGGGACTTGCCAGGCAGCCCAGAGGGGAGGGCAGGCCACCACAGCAGGCTGTGTGGCAGCCAAACACGCCAAACACGCTGCAGGAGGGGTCGGGAGCTT